TGTAAACACCCCTCACAAATTCTCTGGCCCTTAGCAGGCTGTTAGGAAAGCAATGAGCACCTGGCTTCGGATCAGACAGACCAAGGTCAAGGCTGGGCTCTGCCACTCATCAACTATGTGTGACTTGAGCAAGTGATTGACCCTCTAAGATCAAATCCCTCCTTGGTAATCAGGACACAAGACTATGACTACAGGAGTCGGGGGAGTCAGCCAGCATTATGTCTGGTGAGTTTGAACCTGCAGACCCTGATACAAGGATTCCAGGTCAAAGACTGGGTTTCAACTGCCAGGCATCTCTTTGGGAGGAGATCCCAAGAAACACTCCGTTGGAAGTGGGATGGAAAGGGAGACAGGTGTTAAAGGCAGCTTGAAGGGAGTTTGCACTGTGGATAACCAGTGCTCAGCTCTGGACAGAGGGCAAGGAACACGAACCTCAGAGTCATTTCTGCCAGAGCAAAGACCTGGGACCGCTCCTAAGGACAGTGTCTCTCTGGAGTGTGGAGCCTGGACCATCAAGCTTGGAGACTAGGGCAGAGAGCCAAGACACTGACCATGAGCACAGCTGGTGTGGACAGTTGCAAGCACAATGGGGTTTCTCCTGCTTTGCCGCCAACACATACACACATAATCACATACACGCAGAAACACACACATACTCATTTACACACATACACGAATGTTCATGCACATAAACCTGTGCATAGCCCTGAGATATGTGCATGCAGTTGCCTAGACACATTCAGGGTCACAGGTACACACAAGCAAATTGGCAGGTGTTCACACATAAACATGGGAATTCTTGGAGGAAGAACTTTATAGACTGATGTGTCTGGCCAGCAGAGGGAGCCTCTTACACATATACAAGAAGAATAGGGTGCCTCCTCCCCAGTCTCGTTGTCTTAAGAAAGGATCAGTCACTGAAATTGCGGTCCTGGTGTAAAATGAATTAATAAATTTAAAAAGTCAGTCACACAGACTGTGTACACATAGGCCTGAGGGTATACACTTGCAATCTCAACATATGAGAGTGGAGACAAAAAAATCCAGTTCAGGGTCATCTTTAGTGGCTAATATAATTCCAGGCCACCCTGAGCTACTTGAGACCCTATCTCAAGAAAGAAGGAGGGCCATAAAGAAGCAGCAGCCCCCGAACTCTGGCGCCATCCCTCCCTTCCTCCTCTCCTTTATTCGCCCTCACAAGGTTTATGAATTTCGAGCTTGATTATCCTGTAAGACTCATGGTACCAGGGAAAACCGAGCCGCAGAGAGAAGCAATTCGGTGCCCACAGCCACCTCTAGGAAGTGGCCCTACCAGAGTTAGATCTCACAGATATTGGCTCCAAGTTTTTGTGGTTGTTTTGTTTTGTCGTGTTGCTAGAGGGTGACAGAGTTGCATATGAGAGAAGTGGGAAGGTCTTGGGAAATGATGCGCGTTTGGAGCCCCTCCATCGTGGCGACGATGAGGGAGCAACAGCACCACCGAGAGTCACGTGGCTTAGGTAGACCCCGGGTCTGCCAGTTTACCACTCAGCCCCCAAGTACGGCGGACAGTGCATACGGGCCGACGATCCCACAACATGCCACCAGGGGTCGCCCCAGGACACAGAGCTGTGCTGCCACTGTCTCCGAATTCAACTTAGCAGATCTTCCTGACACCTGCTGACTCCCAGTGCTACACAGAGGCTTAGGAATCCAACCAGACAGGAATCCTGAAGGATGCTGCAGGAAAGGATCTGCGCTGGGACCTCAAGATAAGGGTATTGAGTGAGTTGCTTCTGTTAAATGAGATAATCGTCTAAAAAAGATGTCGGCTAAAAAGATAATCATCTAAAGATAAGTCATCTAAACTGTAAGGCAGTGCATGGATTAATGAGAGCATGTGGAACGATAACTGAGCCAAGTGACAAGGGTCATTTCCCGGTGGTGGCGCACGCCTTTAATCCCAGCACTCGGGAGACAGAGCCAGGTGGATCTCTGTGAGTTCGAGGCCAGCCTGGTCTATAGAGCGAGATCCAGGACAGGCACCAAAACTACACGGAGAAACCCTGTCTCGAAACAAAACAAAAAAAAGAAAGAAAGAAAAAAAGAGTCATTCCATCTTAAGTCCAGTTTGGCCCAAGTGGAGACCCAGTCTCGAGAAAACAAGGGCTGGGGATGTGCTTGCCTATCTCTGCAAGCCTTGGAAGAGCACACAGGAAGCATTAGGTCTCACCTGAATCTCATTATTACATTAACTGTGGAGAGCTCCTAGGCGTAGTCTTTGAACCCTTCTTCATGCACCTGGGTGTGTGCATTCCAGTACACTCACATGCACACACAAATGTAAGGACACACTCACATGCACATACAAATGTAAGGACACACTCACATGCACACACAAATGTAAGGACACTCACATGCACACACAAATGTAAGGACACACACATGCACACACAAATGTAAGGACACACACACATGCACACACAAATTAAGGACACACACACATGCACACACAAATGTAAGGACACACTCACATGCACTCACAAATGTAAGGACACACACACATGCACACACAAATGTAAGGACACACACATACTGGGACACGCAGTCTTCATGGGGGGAGTTGCTGTTTCTTGTAATGTAGGCATCAAATTCAAGTGCAATGCTCTACCAGATGAGCTACATTCCCTCCACCACCCCCACCCCACCCCTGCAACCCTTTAGTCCTTTCTTGACTTTTTTTTTTTCTGAGACACTCTTTCTATGTAGTCCTGGCTGTCCTGGAGCTCCCTATATAGACCAAGCTGGCCTTGAGCTCACCTGCCTCTGCCTCCAGAGTGCTTGGATTAAAGATATGCACCACCAAGCCTGGCTCCCTAAGTCTTTAAATGCTATCTAAACACTTAGACTTCCAAAATGTGTGTTCCAGCCTGGAATCCACATCCAAGTTCAAGAACTATTCAACAGGGGTACAGTTCAGTGGTAGAGTGTTTGCCTCGCACGCACAGGACCCTAGATTTGATCCCCACACTGCATACCATCCTTCTGGGATCCTGTTTCACGTCTCAAAATCTGACATCCTGATCTCACCACTACCATCTCCTCCACTCTGCACCCCCGTGTCTGCCTGTGGCAGGTCCACCTTGTCAAGAGATTGAGACAAAGCTAGAGCCCTCCCCTTCTCCTGAACCCCACATAAGGCAAACCTGCCAGAACTCCCTGGAATCTGTCACCTTAACGCCCCTATAGCATCATCTTGATTCAGCCATCATCAGGACCACCTGACCCCTTTGCCTCATGAGGTCTCCATTCAACCCAGCAGCTGCTGTGTCCCACCACTGTTTGGGCCCCTCCATAGCTCCCCATTTTTTCTCACAAGAGAAGTTAACATCTGTATAGTATCCTCCAGCGTGATTAGTGAATTTGCTGATTTCTTTACATATCTATTGTCATTTATCATCTTGCCCTTAGATGTCACCTATGCAAAGGCCCAAAGTAAGCATGGCTCCCAGCAGATGCCTGTTAATATTGGATGAATTGATATGGCCAGTATCATCATTGCCCCAACTCTAATATTCTGCATGTCAGCCTGGCTCCCTGAGCCAGACCTGGTTCCCTCCCTCCTTTTAGTCTCCACAGCTAGCTAACTACCCCTGTCCAGAGCCATCCTCCCTGGGTCTAATTTCCATCTTTCCCAGGACCCTGACCCACAGTACGCCCCCACAAGCCCCCTTCATTCTAAGCCTGATCTAACCCCTCCCTGCCCCTGCTCACCCCTTCCATGGATCCCTGCTGCTGTCTGCTCCGGTCTACTACCCTTCCTCCCTCTGCTCCTCCCACCCAGATGCAAACACCTCTGCCTGCTGTGAGTTTCTAAAGCTCTTCACGCTCTTCTCCAACCCGGGCCTTTGCTGACGCTGTTCCTCTGCCTGCCACACTCTTCCCTCCCGATCATCCACTCAGCTTCCACGCTCCAGCATCAACGTTCCCCTGACACTCCACTCCCCATACCTCTGTCATATCACCCAGAACCAGGGGTCTCATGTTTGAAACACCTGTCATCCGTTTCAAATAGTCATTGCCATGTGTAATTGTTAGTTCAGCACCTGCTTCTCCCTGAGGAGGGTAGGAACTAGGCTGGTTTGTGCTCCTGGCCCCATGACAGTAGACACTGAATTAATATGCAATCTGTTGACCAAATAAACAGTGCACAAACTGTCTCCAAAAATCTGAGTTTAGTTCAAGAACAAACAGCTTCCCCCTAGTCGCTTCCCAACTGCCAAGAGCCCCTCCTCCCCAGCTTGGGCTCCAGATCTGGGATGGGATGAGGCGGAAGGTATCTGCATCTCCTTGCTTTTACTCTTTAAAAAAAAAAAAATGAGAAAACTCATCAGAGGGACGGTGACCAAGGAGGAAATGGCTTGCAAGGGTCCGGGTTTACAAAACAACAACAACAAAGCAAACAGCCAAAGTCCTGAGATTCAGCTTATGCAGTCCTTCAGTGTAGTTGCGCGTCTCGGAAAGGTGATGTTGAAGATTCAGGGCTGCAACCTCAGACTCCAGCTTCTAAATCCTCAGTTTAGAAGCTAACCTGGGCGTAGCCAGAGGGAAGGCGAGGATCCAGTCCCAGCGTTGAGTCTTAGGTCCAGGGAAGGTTCTGTGGGTCTGGCCGAGGAACCCGAATCCACAGGACTAGGGTGAGCTGCCTTGCCTTGGGGGCGGGGCCCAAGCCCTAGGGGCGGGGCCTAACCTGACTTTCACACGCTGAAGGGCCCTGAGGGTAATTTAAGGCGGGACTTTGACCTCAAGGGGTGGAATCAGATCCCAAGGGGCTGGGCCTTGTCCTGAGGGGCGTGGTCGCCACCAACAAGATGCTCCTCCACAAAGCTTTATCCTCTTGTACTTTGGAGGAGCATGGTCTACTCCTTCAGGATCTTGGAGGCGGACCCAGGCCCTTGGAGGCGTGGTCTAGGCCCGAGTGGGCGGAGCCTGAACCCGGGGATCCTCAGGGCCTGGCGCGTTCAGGCCCGCGGGGTCAGAGGCTCCACGTTGAGCCAGATGCCGTTCTCCGTGCGCAGAATGAGCTCCGGCTTCCGCCGCACCTTGCGCGTTCGGTCCACGCTCAGGCGGAAGCGCAGCAGTGTCAGCGCCACGACCACTCGCATCTCTGCCATGGCAAAGCTCTGCCCAATGCAGTTCCTGCAGGAAGGGTTCAAATGAGAGGCAAGGATCCTTAGGACAGGTCTCTGGACATGACCCTGGAGTCAAACGTTCAAATCCTAGCACAGCCTGCTACTATCAGGGCATCCTGATGGATGACCGCCCTTGTCTGAGCCTCAGTTCCCGCTTCCATAGAACCGAACGAAGACCACATCACAGAGCTGTTAGAAGTGTGTGAGCCCAGAACCCGGGGGTCTAACATACAGGAGGGGTACCCTCTTAACAAGGACGGAATTGCGATCTGATGCTGAACCCTTGGTTCCGTCAAGGGAACAAAGGGGACTTGGGTTGCCAGAAATTACCTGTGGGTGAGACTTGGTCTCTGCTTCCTTGGGGGCACATCCCTGACCTGACACTGGCCAAGTCCCTCCCACTTGTGATGATGTCTGGGCTTAGTAGAGGCCTTACCTGGGACCTGCTGAGAAAGGTACGTAGGCCAGCGGGGAGCGCTGCTGTGGGGTGTCTGGATCAAAGCGGTAAGGATTGTACACCTAGATAGGAATTGCCTGGGTGAGTCCGGGTTCTGGCCCAACCATACACCCTAGCCTGCACCTCAGTCTCTAAAGGCTCCTGCAGCTGGAACACCTCGGGGCAATCTGGTCCAGTCTATCTCACACACTACAGCTTAGCCATGCCTGTCTCCTTCCCGGCACCCGGGCTTTTTTCTACCTCAAGTCCTTTGCACTTGATGTTTCCTAAGCCTGGAACAGGCCTCTCCCTGTTCTTCATACTCATTAGGTCTCAGCTCAAACATCATCTTGTCTTCAAGGCCTCTCCTGATCCCCTGAACTGAATGCCCCCACCCTATATGTTTTCACTTCCTTAAAGCATTTAGCAATTCCCAAAATGATTTTCTCTATTGGCCTGTTGCCCTGAGTTTGACTTCCAGGTCCATGAGAGCAAAGGCAGTGTCATTGTAGGTTACCAATGCTGAGCAGAGGCTCAGTGACTATTTGTTGACTTCCTGAGTTAACAAGGACTTGATGGAACAGTGGAGCAGAAGGGCCAGTCCCTGCAAGCAGCCCTGAGAAGGAGCCAGAGCCATAGGAAGGCAAAGGCAGGAGCTTACCTTAGAGTCAGGCCACACTAAAGGGTTGTAGTGTGTCCCATAGATGCTGAGCAAGCAGATAATACCTGTAGGGACATTTGGAATCAGTGGGACCCAAGGGAGTCTTTGGAAACACACACACACATATGGGGGGGATAGTAATAATAATAAGGGGATAGTAATAGTAATAATAATAATACTGACAATAATAACTTGTTTTAAAGAAACTGACCCTCTACCATCAGTACCCGCAGATCCAGCCCTGCCTCACCCACCCCTTCCTTTCCACTATGGATACAGACACATCTGCCTCCTTCACACACACCTAGGTTTCCCTCCATGATGATTAGCTATATCAACTTGATACAGTCAAGTTGATCACTTGGAAAAGGAGTCTCAATGAGGGATTGCCTAATTAGATTGGTCTGTACGCATGCCAGTAAGAAATTTTCTTTTTCAATATTTATTTTTATTTTATATGTACTCTGTGTGTGTGTGCATACATGATTTATGTGTGTGGGTGCCCACAGAGGCCATAAGTGAGTGTCAGATCCTCTGGTTCTGAAGTTACAGGTAGTTGTGAACTGCCCAACCAGGTGCTTGGAACTAAACTCAGTTATCTACAAGAATAGCAAGTGCTTTTTTTTTTTAGGTTTATTTATTTATTGTGTACATGAGTATTTTACCTGCATGTATGTATTCATACCACATGCAAGCCTGGTGCATGTAGAGTTAAGAACAGGGTATTAGATTCCCTAGAACTGGAGTTACAGATAGTGTGAGCCACCATATGGGTTCTGGGAGCCAGTGCTCTTAAAGTACTGAGCCGTCTCTCCAGCCCCCATAAAAGATTTTTTTAATTGGATTACTTAAGGTGGGAAGACACACTGAATGTGAGTGGCACTATTTCATGGGCTAGGACCTGGACAGAATAAAAAGGAGAGAATTGAACACTGGCATGCACAGAGTCATTCATTGCTCTGTGCTCTTGTCTGTGGCTGCAATACAACTAGCTGTTTCAGGTCCCTACCACCCTGACCCATCTACCATGACAGACTATAGCCAAATAAACACTTGACCCCTAAAATTGCTTTTGTCGGGTTATATTGTCACACTGACAGGAAATGAAAGGAAGATGCCCTCATCACTAGCAACAGATACACAGGGATCTTCCCCCTCACAGGGATCCTGCACCCACAGTAGGCCTGGCCCGACCCCTGTAAACCACGCCGCAGCAGTGGAGGGCACGGAGCAGGCACCTTTGGGAATGATGCGCCCATCTGGCAGCTTGATGTCCTCGGTGCATCGGCGAGAGATGAGCGTCACAGGTGGGAACTGTCGGAGGCTCTCCTTGATACACATAGTGGTGAAGGGCAGCTGAGTCAGGTCATCCCTGAAAAGAAAGGCATTGTGACTCATGCACACACGGGAATAGTTTTGTAAGACCAGTTCAAAAGATCCAGAATGGCCCCACGGAATCTACAATGTACAGATGTCCCAGGCCGGTGTCCTGAGTGTGGCTGACCAGGAAGGAATGAAGCTGTTCTAAAAAGACTGCGCCACTCATTCTGACCATCTGACTGCTGAAGCCATGGAGTCCTAGAAACTGGAATTCCCCCAGGAATCTAATGCCAGGAAGGGAAAACATAAAGGCTAGGCCACCCAGAAGGGAAACTCTCCCAGAAAGAGACTTATGGTTGGACCACTTTACAGAGCATATGATGATCAGCCGATCGGGGTGGGACCACACCTTGACAGGGCTGCTTACACACACATAACTTGGGTCTCTACTTAAACCTTAGCCTCATTCCAGGACCCCAAAGATGGACTTTGGAAAGAGTCACTGTTGCTCTTTGTCGTCTGCCCCTTCCCGATGTGGCCACATTGAACAGATCTCCCTTTCCTGTTTTCCATTAGTAATTTGGCTGTTTCAGCTGAGTAATGAATGGAGAATGGGCTACTGAACCTGGTTTGTTGCGAGCATGGGCTGTGACCTCAAGCCCATAACAAACTTAGGATGCAGAATATCTGACCACTAGCCAGGCCTATATTCCAGTTTCCCGGGAGGCTGTGCTAGAGAGTGAGTTCAAAGTCAACGTAAGCAACTGTGTGAGGCCCAGTGCTAAAACAAAACTACAACAACAAAAAACAAACAAACAAACAAAAAACCAGAAGAAGGCAGTGAGATGGCTCAGGGAGTTGAGGAGCTTGCTTCCAAGCCTGGCTATCTGGGCTCAATCCCTGAAGAAAGAGAGAAGCAACTCCTCCTGCAGGTTGTCCTCTAACCTCCACATTCATGCAGTAGTACACACATGCATGCAGTGGTGCACACATGCATGCACACACACACATAATAGATAAATAAATAAATAAATGTAATAGAAACAAGCAAAAGATGACTGGGAATGTAGTTCAGTGGTGGTCCAATGGGTTGGTACACGTGAGGTCCTAGGTTCAGACAAAACTAACTGACCATCAATCAATCACAGTCGTGACAAATGAAGACAGCAAGCAATGGGGCTGCTGCTGGGGCTGCTGCTGGGGCTGCTGCTGGGGCTGCTGCTGAGGCTGCTGCTGGGGCTGCTGCTGGGGCTGCTGCTGGGGCTGCTGCTGAGGCTGCTGCTGGGCCCAGCACTCACCTATCATTGGTGAATTGTTGTGTCATCATGGGAGGGACCAGGGCAGCTAGGAGCCTCAGAGCTGCAGCAAGTTACTAGCTTGTATGCATCCTTTCCACGTTTCATTTGTTGTATTTTCTGTTTTATTGCTGATTTCAGAATAGCTTATTTTACTCAGAAACCCAAAATGGACTAGTTATAACTATTAGTTCATTTTTTAAATGTGTGTGTGTGTGTGTGTTGTTTTGAGACAAGGTTTTGCTATGTAGCCTAGACTAGTCTCAATCTTACTGCAATCCTCCTGCCTCAGCCTCCAGGATACTGGGATTACAGTTGTGCACCATCACACCTAACTCTAACAGGTTGGTTTTGGGTATATCTGTCACATGTTTGCAGGTGCCTGTGGAGGCCAAAAGAGGGGAGGGCATCAGATCGCCTAGACCTGGAATTACAAGTAATGGTGAGCTGCCCAGTGTGGGTGCTGGGGTTGGAATTCAGCACCCCTGAAAGAGTAGCAAGCATTCTTAACCACTGTGCCATATCTCCAGCCCCCAGAGAAGCTTTATGTTGCCATCATGAAGTGCCAAAGAACATCCTTGTCATAAAGCTATCCACAGATATAAACATTCTGAAGAAAACAGAGGAGCAGTTAGATTGTGCTGGCAACATCTCCCGCCAGTCCCTGGCCAGACCCTCTAGCATCTCCGTTTGTTACAAAGGCAAAGCAGCAAGATGTTTAGGGTACTGTAGCACTCGGCTGAGAATCTCCGGGAAACTCACAGAAGGCTGAGAGAGAAGTGAAAGGAACTTCTCACTGTGCTACTTAACTAGGGGAAGGGATTAACTGAAAGCCATACTTAGTTCAGAAGAAGTGATTTCCCTCCTCTCCCTGATACAGGCCAGCATGAAACTCACTATGTAGCCTGGACTGACCTTAAACTTTCAGTCCTCCTGCCTCAGCCTCCCCAGTGCTGTGATTAAGGGTGTAGGTCACCACACTCACTGTGTGTGTGTGTGTGTGTGTGTGTGTGTGTGTGTGTGTGTGTGTGTGTGTGTGTGTATTTGTTGATGTGTGATGGGGTGCATGCATTGGGGCGTTTATCCACATATGTATGCATATGTGTGGAGGTCAGAACCTCCAATGCTCCAATGTCACTCCTCAGGCACCATGCACCATCTACTTTTTTTTTTTTTTTTTGACGGGGTCTCTCACAGGCCCAGAATTCCCTGATTAGGCTAGACTGGCTGCCCGGTGAACCCAGAAACCTGCCTGTCTCTGCCTCCCCAGAATTGGGATTATAAGAGTTTGCCACCATATCCAGCTGGTTATGAATAAGAATGGCCCCCACAGGAGCATGTATTTGAATGTTTCATCATCAGGGAGTGGCATTATGTGAAAGGATGAGGAGGTGTAGCCTTGTTGGTGGAAGTATGTCACTGAGAGTGGGCTTTGAGGTTTCAAGGGCCAAGCCAGGCCCAGTATCTCTCTCTTCCTGATGGCTGTAGATCCAGGTGTAGAGCTCTAAGCTACTTCTCCAGCACCATGTCTGCCTGCATGCCATCACGCTTCCTGCAGTGATGAAAATGGACTAAACGTCTGAAACTGTAAGCAAGCCCCAGTTAAATGCTTTCTTTTATAAGAGTTGCTGTGGTCATGGCGTCTCTTTATAGCAATAGAACACTGACCAAGATGCTAGCTTTTATTTTGTAACATGAATTTTCTTTCATGTTTGAAAGGCAACATTTTGCCAACTGAGGCATCTCCCTCAGAGATCCTTTTATGGAAACAGTGATTCATATAGCCCAGGCTGGCCTCAAACACAATATGTAGACAAGGCTGACCTTGAACGCTTCCTGCTTCAGCCTTTGAAAGTCGGAATGGCAGGTGTGCCACCATGCCTGGCTACAGGGCTGTGCTCTCTGTATCACTCAGAGTCAGCTCATATCTCAAGACTGTCTTCCTGTTCTCTGTTCTGCACTTTGTCTCTGCATCATGATCACCCTGGCATGCCATTTCCTCCCAATTGAAACATTGTATCCCAGAGGGCGATGTGTCTGCAGGCATTACTCTCCAGCCAGGGGGCCCTTCCTGCCCACTTGTTGATGACTCCCTCCTCCATAGTGTGCCAGTGCACACAGAACTTTTTTTTACTCTTCTGGAATCTGCATTGAGAAGAACATGTCCCAGAGTAACCCCAGATCCTAGGAGAGTTAGGAGATACCTGGAAGAGACCTGAACCCAGCCAACGATTTGGAAGCAGCCCCACTCCACACAACTGAGCCCAGTGGTCACACACACACACACAAAAAAAAAATCCATGTGTGGGTAAAAGCGATAACTAAATGCTTGCCACAAGCCACTGGATTTGAGGGATGTTTGTCATGTGGTGGGACCACAACAGGTCCTGATGGAGTGGTTCTGAGAACTGCTGAAGAAGGGGTAGGCATCTCAACCAGTCTCAAGAACTGGAATTCCGAAAGCTTAAGGGACTTGTCTAAGGCCACATAATCAGAATCTGGTAGCGCAGAGACTCACACTCAAGACCCTGACTTCGGTTTTCTCCCTTCAATCCTCCCGACCCTCCCAACTGACCAGTCCAGCTCTTCCAGCTCCCGGCCCTTCATGACTTCTTGGATCTCTTCCCGGCACTTCTCCTGGTACTCGGGATACTTCGCCAGGTTGAACAGCGCCCACGACAGCCCACTAGATGTTGTATCATGACCTATGGGCAGACAGGTGTAGTGAAGCTACTACCTCCAGGCAGATTAGTGTTCCCTGAGGTGTTCCCCACACCAGGAGGACAGCGGCACTTCTTCTCGGCCTCACTCAGCATCCTTACCTTCAAACATGAACGTGTCTGCCTCAGCTCGGATGTCCTCATCAGACAATTCCTTTCCCTCTTCATCCTGCAATGGCGGTGGAGGATGCTGAGCCCACTTTACCCCACTTCCTACATCCTAGAGGTTCCCCAAAGTCAAATCTACCTATTTTCCCATTTGACTTTTTCTTTTCTTTCTTCCTTTCTTCCCACTTCTATTTTTTACTTTTATTTATTTAGTGTATGCACACATTTATTTATTTCGTCTGTGTGTGCGTGCATGCATGCATTCATGCATATGCTATGCTGCATATGTGAGAACCAGGACAACTTGCTAGGATCATTTCTCTTCTTTGAACATGTGGGTCCCAGGGATTGAACTCAGGTCGTCAGTCTTTGCAGCAAGCGTCTTTGCCTGCTGAGCCGTATTCTCAGCTCATCCCTTTTACCCCACTCTCCCAGAGACTCCATATGCAGCCCAGACTCATCTCAGTCTCCCAAGGGCTGGAGTTACAGGTGTGCACCACCGTGCCTGGCTTCCCATCCACCCCTCTCCTAAACTACACTGGGTATAAATACTCCTAGCAGAGGGAAGGATGCAATGTACTATAAAAGAGATGAAAGGGGGAAAGAATGTCAAAGGGAGTTCATACAAGCATCACTTGACAATTATGTTACAGTTCAAAAAACTAATGAAGGGAACAGAAAGATGAATCATTATGTAAAGCCATCTCCCGCCCATCCTGACAGTCTGAGTTCAATTCCCAGAACCTACATGGCACGAAAGAATCAACTCCCATAATTTGCCCTCTGACCTCCACATTTATGCTGTGGCACATGCATGCTCACACACCTTCATGGACTCACAAAATGAATGAATGAATGAATGAATGAATAAATAAATAAATAAATAAATAAATAAATAAATAAATAAATAAATGCAAAAAGAAGAGGAGGGGAAATGCATTAGGCAATTTCACCGCTTACATAAACCAACAGATACAATTTCATTAAGTGATTAGGGGTGTGTGTGTGTGTGTGTGTGTGTGTGTGTGTGTGTTGTTGCAGATGGAGTCAGGGCTGTGCATTTCCTAGGCAAACCTGCCTCTCAAGTCTTTCCTGGGAGATGCTATCTGGGGTCAGATAACAATTTTCAGGAGTCGATTCTCTCCTTCCATCATGTGAGTTCTGGGGATCGAACTCAGGTCATCAGACTTGCTGACAAGCCTCGTTACCCACCTAGCCACCTTGCCAGCCCTTCCCCTCTTCTCTCTCCTTTTTCTTCATTTTGACCCTCTCCATTTCTTCACAGGTTATGTAGTCCAGAGTAGTCTCAAACTTACAATCCTCCTGCTTCAAGCTTCCACGTTCTGGGATTATGTGTCACCAGACCCAGCTGTTCTAAGTTACCTAAGATGACTTAACCCACACAAGGGCCATCATCATCTCTGCACACCGCTGTTGACTGTCTCATGCTGCACACCCGCATTTACTGAGTAGCTCCTGGCAGCCATTTGTCCTGCAGGATAGCCAACAAGTCTGTCATCAGGTCTTATGAGCACCAGGATGCAAGAGCCGGGAATGGTGATCTCAATCATATACCCTCTGAGTGGCAGAGCCATGGCTGGAATCCAGAACTGTATCAAAAATTCCACACAAGAGGCTAGGCACACACCCCTGTGATACCAGCACTAGGGAGACAGAGGCAGGAGGATCAGAAATTCAAAGTCATCCTCAGCTATACAAGGACTTTGAGGTTAGTATTGGCTAAAGTAGACACTGCCTCAAAAGGGGAAAAAAAGGCAACAAACAAGAATGACTGGGGAAATAGTTCAGTAGTTAAGAGCTCTTGCTGCTCTTGTAGAAGATCTGGGTTTGGTGTCCAGCACTCAGCATCCACATCAGGCAGCTCACAACTGCCTGTAGCTCCAGCTCCAAGGAGTCTGACCCTCTTCTAGATCCTAAGGGCACTTGTACTCAGACATACACGTGCACACATATTTAAGAGTGAAATAAATGTAAAAACAGCAGGCTGGCGGGATGCTCAGTGGGTAAAAGTACTTGCTGCACAAACACTAAGACCTGAGTTTAGCTCTCCAACACATATTTTATATATATATAAAAAGCCATAGCTTTGTGTGCATTGGGGACAAAGACAAGCAGATCTCTATTGCTGACTGGACAACCAGACTAGATGAAATGGCAAGATTCCAATCCCATGAGAGACTGTGACTCAAGGCATTAAGTCAGAAAGCAATAGAGGAAGATACCACACTTCCTACACTGGCTGCTGAATCCAAATGTGCATGTATAGGCACTCACACCCACACACTCATATACACACAAATCCATAGAAGGATGAGCCGTAGCTGAATGACAGGGCACTTGCATAGTATTCTTTATGCCCTGGGTTCAATTCTCAGAGCGCCAACGATAATAAAAACAAGAGTGTTTTGACTGGAAGTTTGTTCAGTGGTTACAAGCACTTGCTACTCTTCTAAAGAGACCAGTTCAGTTCCAAGCACCTGTGTCAGGGAGTTTCCCTAGCTCCAGGCTACCCAATGCCCTCTTCTGACTGCCACGGGCATGTGCACTTGTGCGCACATACCCATGCATAGACGCATGGTTAAAATTAAGAGTGTTTGCACAGAACCTATAATCATCTTCTTGTCTACTTTAAGTCACCTGTAGGTAACAGAATAGCTGGGCATGAGGGCATATACCTATGATCTCACCACAAAGGAGGCTGAGAAGGAGGATTATAGACTGTGAGTTTGAGGCCAACCTGGGAATTGCTGAGGGAGAGGAAGAGGAAGGGGGTGAGGATGAATAGATTAAGCTGGAAAGATGGATCTGCAAGTGAAGGCACTTAGACACCAAGCGTGATGGGCCCGAGTTTGAACCCTGGAACCAGACCCGCATGGTTGAAGGAAAAAACCAGCTCTACAAGTTGTCTTCTGATCTCCCTAAAAGCTCCCTAGCATGCACGCACACGCACGCGCGCGCACACACACACACACACACACACACACACACACACACACACACACACATTGTTTTTTGAGACGGAATCTCAGTATGTAGCCCTGGTGGTCCTTGATCTTGCTTTATAGACCCCCACTGGCTTCAAACTCACAGCAATCTGCCTGCCTCTGCTCTGCTTCCTGGGTGGTGATATTAAAGGCGTGCACCACTTGCCTGGTCAATGACTATAATTAAAATTTTTTTGTTTCAAAAGAAAAAAGCTGTGCATGTATCCAGTACAGGCCTCACTCAATGTATTAACATCAGCTGTCTGAGCCGGACTCATAGCCTACTTAAGTTTACAGGAATGTTCCACAGAACAGACCACACTCTAGACTATAATGGGGCTCATTTAAATTAAAAAGACCGAAGTACTCTGTTGTGACATCTGAATGAACCCACCCACATTGTGCCCCTACACCTGCTCCTTCCTGTAATCCCCAAGAGTTTGAGCATCTTTTTTCAGCAGTGGGTGCAATTCCCATGCCGGGCTCTAGGGTCAGAAGCCCGCTTCCACCCAGCCTTACCTTGGCCATCAGCAAGACATCGATGAAGTCCAAGGTTTTGCCTTGCTTGGCCTTCAGCCACGCCTCAGCACCCTGCTGGCGCAGCGCCCGCCGCCGCTCCTGGATGACTTCGGTGGTGAACTTGTGCACGGTGTCGCAGGCCTGACGGAAGCGCCGCCCGTCGGCCGTGAAGTAATAGATGAAATCCAGGTAGTGATGCAGGCGGTATTGGCGTCTCACCACCAGAGCGCTCAGTTCGATGATGGAAGAGATGTAATCGCTCATTCTCCTGCAGAAAGAAGGGCAGTCAGCCACCCGCGCGGCCCAGAGGCATGCGTGGGGTCCAGCCTCTGTTGCATGATGACAGACAGAGGTCCTGTATTAACCGTATTTTGTTATTTTTTAAAATTGTTTTTATTTTATGTTTGTGAGTGTTTGCCAGCGTGTATGTCTGTGCACCAACTGTGTGCAGTGCCTGAAGGGACCAAAAGGGAGTCTGATCTACTGGGGCCGGAGTTACAGATGATTGTTAGCTGCCACGTGGGTGTTTGGAACTGAATGATGAGCCCCCCCCAAAGCAGCAAGTGCTCGTAATAGCTGGGCCATCTCTCCAGCCCCTGCATTTTCGTTTAATCCATATTCTCTCCCTCCCTCCCTCCCTCCCTCCCTCCCTCCCTCCCTCCCTCCCTCTCTCTCTCTCTCCCTCCTCTCTCTCTCTCTCCCCCCTCCCCCTCTCCCTCTCCCTCTCCCTCTCCTCCGCTTACTCTCCCTCTCTATCTCTCCCCCACTTCCTCTCCCATCTGTGTGTCTGTCTGTCTGTCTGGAGGTGGTGGACTGCAAGGCTTTGCATATGCTAGGCCAGCACTTTACCAAATGAGCTGTATGGCCAGCCTTTTTGTGTTTTTGAGACAGGGTCTCTTGTTGCCCAGGATGGAGTCAAACTCACTATGTAGCAAAGACTGACCTCGAGCTTCTGATTTTCCCTCTCTTTTTGCCCATCAAGTGCTTGGATTACAGGCATGCACCACCACACATGACTTATTTTATTTAAAGGTCTTTGTTTTGCTTTGTTATTCTTTTATTTTTATTTTATGTGTATGAGTGCTTTGCTTGCACATCTGTGCACTACATATGTGTCCCTGGTACCCTCAGAAGTCAGAAGAGGGTGCTAGATCCCCTGGAACTGGAGTCAGAGGTGGTGGTGAACTGCCAGATAGGTGTTAGGGAATCAAACCTGGACCCTACACAATAGCATCAAGTGCTCTTAATCACTGAGCCATCTCTTCAGCCCGTGTTTTCAGTTTTAATTATGTCTTGGGGGGAAGGTCTGAACGTATGTGTGTTCAACCTGCATGCAGGTTGCCTAGGAGTCCAGAAGAAGGTGCCAGATTCCCCCAGAACTGGAGCTATAGGTGGTTTGTTAACTACCCATCATATGTGCTTAGAACCAAATTCTGGTCCTCTGCAAGAGCACTATGTGCTTTTAACCACTGGTTCATCCCTTAAGCCCTGTACCTGGCTTATTTTATTTTATTGCACAAGACTAGAAATGGAGCCGAGGGCCTCCTACATGAGGCCCTCCACCTCAGAGCTGCACAGCCAGTCGTAACAAATATCTGGGGAGTGAATGAACTCTAGTGAGTGTTATTTTATTAGTTCAGTCAACAAATATTCACTGGACGCTTTTTACATGCCAGGGAAGCTGCCACATTATTTTATCCTTAGAGCATTTCTCAAAGTCAGGTATTCTCATCTCTGTGTAGCAAAGGACTGGGGTGGGGTGGCAGTGGCTCACTCCTGCAATCCCAACACTAAGGAGATGGAATCAGAGAGGATCAAGAGGCCACCCTGGGCACAGAGTGAAAGCCTGTAGGATGGGAGGGAGGCCTGACCCAGCAGTTAAGAGCACATACTACTCTCCCAGAGGAATCAAGGTTGACTCCCAGCACCCATGTTGGACAGTTCACAGCTTGCCTGTAACTCCAGCTCTAGGGCATCTGACACCTCTAGGCTCTAGGGGCACCTGTACTCATGTGCACATACCTATGCACAGACACGTAGGCATAATATTTAACGACAGACAAGCTTTTAATGTATATATATATATATATATATATATATATATATATATATATATATATATATATATTTGGTTTTTCAAGACAGGGTTTCTCTGTGTAGCTTTGCGCTTTTCCTGGATCTCGCTTTGGAGACCAGGCTGGCCTCGAACTCACAGAGATCCGCCTGCCTCTGCCTCCCGAGTGCTGGGATTAAAGGCGTGCGCCCCCACCGCCCAGCTTAATATATATTTTTAAAGGAGGAAAAGAAAGTGAGGATGAGGAAGGAGAAGGAGGGAGGATGGGGATGAAAAAATAACAATACAGGAAGGAGATGCAGAAAAAGAAGAGAAGGAAGAAGAGGGGATAAGATGGAATAAGAGGGAAGAAAAAGGATAAGAAGGACAAGAGGAGGAAAGAGGAAGGAGAGGGAGGAACTAAAGAAGGAGGTGAGCATTTCCGGGCTATACCCTCTCTGTGGAGGAATGAGGGAGAGTAGTGTTTCCTGAACATCTACTAAGTGCCAAGACACTGGCTGACATCGTTTTACTTACTTAATTATGTATTTATATGGGGGTTTTGCTTGCTTGCTTGCTTTTGATACCAGTTCTGAAGCTATAGCCCAGGCTATCCTAGAACTCACTATGCAAGCTGGCCTGGACTCAAAGCGCTCTGCCTGCCTCTGACTCCGGAGTGCTGAGATTAAAAGCGACCACCACGATGCTCTATGGGGTTTTCTAAGCTGTCCAGGCTAAACTCAAACTCAAGATCCTCTTGCCTCAACCTCTCAAATGCTAGGATTATGGAACATGGGTGTGAGCTACCACACCCAGCCAAAATCTCGTTTAATCCTTTTTATAAGAGAACTGAGGCTCAGAGAGGTGGTGTCATCTTGGGGGCCACCCAGGAAGAAGTAAACAAGGCTGTGGGTGCACAGCCGGGCTTGCATCACAGCAGGGAGGGTCCCTCTCTCCTCCCACCCCCACCTACCCTAGGGGCCACACTCACTCCTGGCAGTCACTGTTGTAACTGAACACACATTTCTGAAGGCTGTCCAGGGTCAGGAGGCTGACGTGCTCGAACATGTCAAAGGAAGCCACCGAGCCCTCTGCCAGATGCCGCCGCCATTTAGCCTGTAAGGGAGACCCAAGGCAACCAGGCATAAAGACCACAGACCACGAGCTGGTCAGACGGGAGCAGGCAGGATCCTCACGGCCAATCCAGTTCAGGCGTAGCAAGGGACGCTGCCCCCCTCCGCTCTGAGGCCTTCCCAGATGAGGCCAACCTCCTCCCACCACTCAGCCTCGGGACTCACGTGCATGATGTCCGTGCACTGGTTGAAGATCTTCATGTAGGGCTTCAGGATGTCAAAGTGGAAGGCGGGTGTGAGCAGGCGGCGGTGCCGGCTCCATTTGTTCCCTTTGCTGAGCAAAAGTCCATCCCCTGAACCCAGAAAACCAAGGGCTACTGGCCTCTCCTCTCCCCGCTCCCCGCTGAAGTGCTCCAAGAAACCCCATACCCTTCTCTGATTTCGTGTAAAAGGCAATCATTTTGGCTCCATGTTCAGTATGAGGTGTGTTTAGAGGCCATTGGAGAATCACAGATAAACAGGAGCCACACACACCCCCACCCCACACCCACTTCTTCCCCATCTGCCAGCTGGTGCCTGCTTCACGTGATCTCAGTTCATCCTAAGATTGAAAGCTGCAGGAAGCCTAAGGCCATGTGTCGGAAATGGAGGGAATCTTCAGCCCCAAGACACACATCAGATGAGGCTTTGTGTCCTGAACTAATGGGATAGGAATCTGGGGAGGGGACAGGGCTAGACACTACTCACTGAAGATCTTAATGAGAAATCCAAAGGGCAGAGAAATGTTAGAAATATAAAAACCAGGGGCTGGAGAGATGGCTCAGCAGTTAAGAGCACTGGCTGCTCTTCCAAAGGACCTAGGTTCAATCCCCAGCGCCCACAAGGCAGCTCACAACTGTCTGTAACTCCACTTCCAGGGGATCTGACACCTTCATACAGACATGCACGCAGGAAAAACACCAATGCACTAAAAATAAATAAATCTTTTAAAAAAGAAATATAAAAACCAGTTTGGGATCAAACTGAGTGGGTGGACAGCCATTTTGCCTATTCTCTGTGCTAACAGCCAGCTTTGCGAAGTTGTAGAACAAACAGGTTTACTTTTACTACTCTGAGTATCCTGTACTCTTATGAAATGAAGACCAGCATCCTTTCTTCAGCACTCACCTAACCACGGCTTCAGGAAGCTATAGAAAAACTCATCCTTGGGCGCAATGGCAGCTGTGGAGAAAGAGGAGGCAATGGGCATTCCAGACCGAGTTCTGACCTCCGCCTAGGACTTTCCGGGGCCTCTTCTCTAGGTTCCTGCCTCCCATCTCACCCCACCTTCACATCTCTCACTTGAGAAATCTTACAACATGCTGATCTGAACTGAGTCTCTCCTGCTCAAACACCTCCCATGGCTCCCCATTACTCTTGTAGAAGAGCTTTTGGGTTGGGCATGGTGTTTTATGCTTGTAATCCCAGCAGCTGAGATACTAAATCAGGAAGATTACTGTAAATTTCAGGATAGCATTAGCTATATACATAGTGAGTTCTAGACCAACCTGGGCTGCTGTGTACTAATAGCTTTTCTAAAATAAATAAATAAATAAATAACTTGGGCCTGCAAGATGTCTCTGTGTATAAGGGTGCTTCCTGCCAAGCCTGATGACCTGAGTTTAATCCCTGGGACTCAGAAGGAAGGAGAAAACTGACTCCCCCCACAACTTGTGCTCTGACATCCACATACATAATGCAGTGCAGATTCACACACATGTGCACACACTAAAACTAAATATAAAAGAAACACAAGCTTTAGAAAAAATATGTATTTATTTATATATGTGCGGCATGTGTAGGCACACTCGTGCCCTGGCGCTTGTATGGAGGTCAAAGGACAACTTGTAGGAGTCAGTACTCCCCTTCCATCTGGGTCTCAGAGATTAAATTCAGTTTGTCAGGCTTGTCAACAATTGCCTTTACCCAAGGAGCCATCTCATTGGGCCTGAATGCTGGACTTTCTTATATTAAAATAATAATAATAATAATAATAATAATAATCCATGCTCAGCCTCCCGCTGATGGCTCTGGCACATTCAGTCCCTGCATCCAGACTCTTCCGCTCAATCCTTCAACAATCTCACAGCACAGCATCACTCACCGCCAGGCCATGCTCCCATAGGAAGGACGACACACCCTAACCCTCCCTGCTATCAGCTCTGGCCCAGCATCTGAATCACAGCTGTAATCCCACAGCCAGCCTCACCTTCCTGTCTGTCTGACATGCTGGCCTGCTGACAGTGACAAGAGCCTCTGCCACTGCACCCACCCATCACCCGCCGGCACCTGGACAGGGCTCATTTTCAAAGCCATTGGGGATCAGCCCTAGTCCAGATGTTGCCCAGAACAGACATCTCTATACTCCAGCTCTTGTCACTCCATCAAACAGGACCAACGGCACAGAGCCTCTCTGCTCCTAAACAATGTCAGGTGCCCCTTGTTGTTGGGGAGCATATCTGTGTTCCCCAAAGTTCAGATGCTGAGGCCAACGTTTTAAGTCAGCTTGTGATACATAGTGAGGCTCTTTCTGATTAAACCAAAAGCCAGCTAGTGAAGTACTTGCCTTGCAAACAAGACAGCCTGAGTTTGGTCCCCAGAACCCACATTTAAATGACAAGGCTGATAAGATGGTGAGTGGGCCAATGAGATGACTCAGTGAGTAAAGGAGTTTATAGTCAATCCTGAACACCTTCCTTCTGATCTTGGGTCCCACAAGATGGAGAGAACCAACTCCTCTGGGTTGTTCTCTGACCTCTTCACGTGTGCTATGGCCCTTTAGTGCCTCCTCTGCCCTCCCCATATACCAGACAAAAATTTAATTTAATTTTTTAAGTTGCACTTACAATCCCAGCAATGTGGGGGTGAAGAGAAGTGAATGTCTGGGGCTCACTGGCCAGCCAACCTTGGCAAGCTCCAGGCTAGTGAGAGATCCTGTCTCAAAAAGAAGATGGGAGGCACCTGAGGAATGATAGCTAGGGTTGTCCTCAGGTTCCCACGTGTGCACATGTATATACACATGCTGCCAGACCGACACACACACACACACACACACACACACACACCCCAAAGGCTGGATATTGCCAAGTCACAAATTAGGGCATCTGGAAGGTCCCATTCTCCTTTTTTAACCTGCATCTACCATGATAACCATCCATCATGGCTGGATCTGCCGTGATGACCAAGAAGCTCCAGGGAAGAGAACTTGGCAGCTTTGAGTGAGCCTGCGCTAACGAGGCAGGTCATGGGGCCGGGGGGCGGGGGGTGGTGGTGGTGTACACCAGCAGTTCTTCAAGGGAAGAGACTCGAGGGTGTCCTGCAGCAACTGCATGCCAGGGTGAACTTCCTGCTACCAATGGCTTCGGGCCATCAGTAATACCATCGGGCCTGGTATTATACTGCTGTTTATTTTTGTGAACTGGCAAGTCATAAGCTTTGCAATGAGATCTAGGAAGGAACCCCATGTCACTGTGGGACACCAGGTCCCCAAGACCTTCAGAGATGGGGGTGCTATTTGGCACTATGAGGTTAAGAATATCAGGTGTGGATCCCAGATCTTTGTAGATGATGTTGCAAAGACTGCTAACTGAGGAAACTCAGAGAAATCAAAGCTGACGCAATGAGCTGGGCGTGGTGGCACATGCTTGCAATCCCAGGAGGAGGCAGGAAGTTCAGAAGTTCAGGATCACCTTGGGCTGCACAGTGAGTTCAAAGCCAGCTTGAGACACCAGAGACTCTGCCTCAAAAGAAGAAAAAAGAACCTTTTCCATTCAGTAAATGAATGAATGAATGGATCAAAGGGTGGATGGATCAGAGGAAAAATAGGAGCTGGAAAAGTGGTTCTGAAAGTAAGAGCACTTGTAGTACAAGCATAAGGACTGAGTGTCGATCCCCAAAACCCAGGAAAAAAGTCAGGGCCCAGAGAGCTGCTTCAGTGGGTAAAGATGCTCGTCACCAAGCCTAAAGACCCAAGTGAGCTCCTCGGAACCCCCATGGTTGAAGGAGAGAACAGACTCTTGCAAGTTGTTCTCTCCCCTTTGCACACGTGCTGTGGCTCACACCTACCCTAACACACATACAAAATCAATAAACAAAAACGCTATTATAAAAAAACAAGTTAGGCATGGCTGCACGCACCTGTGGCCCCAGCGCTGGAGAGTGAGAGCAGAATCTCCGAGGCTCACAGACCACCAGTCCAGCTGACAAATGTCAAGTCTCAGGTTCATTAAAGACTTGTTCCTTGAACTACAAGTGTGCATATACACACACGCACACACACAGACACACATGTATGTACACTTGTTTTTAATTTTAAAAGAATAAAGAAAAGGAAGGACGGAAAGGAGAAATGGATAGTTGGATGAATGGATAGGTGGGTGGGGTTGGTGAGTGGATTGATAGATGGGTGGATGAATGGGAAAAGGGATAGGTAGATGAGTGGGTGGTAGGTGAATGGTAGATAGATGGATAATTTAGTGATTGGGTGGGTAGATATTTAGTGAATGGATGGAAGGATGGGTGGGTGGATGGATGGGTGGGTGGGTGGATGAATATGTAGGCAGATGAATGAATGGGTTGGTAGGTAGTATGGGTAAGTGGATGAATGGATGACTGGGCGGGTAATTGGATGTGTAAATAGATTGGTGGATAAATGGGAAGATGGGTAGGCAGATAGATGGGTGAGTGGGTAAGTGAGTGGATGGATGGATAGATGGATGGATGGATGGATGGATGGATGGATGGATGGATGAAAGCGTATGTGTGGATGGATAGGTGCAAGGTGGTTGGATGGGTAAATAAACGAATATGTGGAAAATTGCATGTATGCATGCACGGATGTATGGTTGGGTGATTGGGTAAATGGATGTACAGATGAATGGATGAATATGTAGACAGATGTATGGATGGCCAGAGGGAGGGAGGAATGGGTAGATGGATGGATTAATGAATACCATTCCCCTTGTACACCATTGTTGTGGAATATTAGTTTAAGATGTGCTACATTTGTTTATGTTGTGGAATATTTGTTTAATGATGCAAAGGTGTGTTGCATTCTTTTCTGTTGCATTTGTTTAACTCTATAAAGCTATGTCACTTTGCCTGCCTAAAACCCCAGATGGGTCTTATAAAGAGCTGAACAGCTAATAGCTGGGCAGGAGAGGGATAGGCAGACTATCAGACAGAGAGAATAAATAGGAGGAGAAATTTAGGAGAGAGAAGAGCAAGGAGCAAGAAAAGGAGGAGAGGAGGGCACCAGGAGCCAGCCACCCGGCCACACAGCCACCCAGCCACACAGCCACCCAGCCACACAGCCACACAGCCACCCAGCCACCCAGCCAGCCACCCAGCCACCCAGCCACACAGCCACCCAGCCACACAGCCACACAGCCACCCAGCCACACAGCCACCCAGCCACACAGTCACCCAGCCACACAGCCAGCCACACAGCCACCCAGCCACACAGCCAGCCACACAGCCACCCAGCCACACAGCCACCCACACAGCCACCCAGCCACACAGCCACCCACCCGGCCACCCAGCCACCCAGCCACACAGCCACACAGCCACACAGCCACACAGCCACACAGCCACCCAGCCACACAGCCACCCAGCCACACAACCAGCCACAGAGTAAGAAGGAAAGAAAGATATATAGAATAAGGAAAGGTAAAAAGCCCAGAAGCAAAATGTAGTTAAAGAGAAATGGGATAATTTCAGTTAGAGAAGCTGGCTAGAAACAAGCCAAGCTAAGGTCAGGCGTTCGTAAGTAAGAATAAGTCTCCATGTATTTATTTGGGAGCTGGGTGGCAGGCACCAAAAGAGTTAAAAAAAATAAAATAAACACACACACACTCCAAAAAAACTACAAACTATAGAAAGGTTCGAGTGAACAGGCACCCAAGGATGTTTGTACACCCAACGTGACTCAGCCACCAACGCACGCTTCCCTGCATTGGCAAACCGCATGCACAGTCATCCTTCATCAGTCACCCCTTCTGTTGCCGTTCTGTGCCCAACCCATGCAAGGTGATGCCAGTGATCCAAGGATGGCTCAGCTCCACTCCCTGCCTGCAGGAGCTCCTGGGCGGGGTGGGAAAGGGAAGGAGAGGCCCACACCAGCCAATTATCAAAATGGTCGAGAGTGTGCCAGGTGCTAAGAAAGCCACAGAGGAAGGGCTCCCAGAAGGCCGAAGAGGCTTCCGAGCGGAAGTGGCACTGAAAGCAAGATGGCAGGACAGTCACCTCTCTCTGTGGAATCCAGGCTAAACTAGTCAGGAATCTTACCGGTACTCAGATTTGGCCCATCGCTGCCTGGCTCATACACCTGCCATTGGCCCTAGCACCCCAGGATAAAGTGCAAACCCATCTGCTTCTTTGTCCAGCTTCCTCTTAACTCTCAGTCTCATTTCCTACTCCCCCAAGCACATCCCCTCTACTCCATCCAATCAAAGCACCTGAATTCCCCTAGCACCCTCCCACATCTGTACCTCTGGACTGACAAGCTCCTCTGTCGGCTGATTCGTTACTCTGATTACAATTATGGCTTATTGGCAGCAAACACTTGTAAATTGAATACTTGGGAAGCCTGTTAGTGAACAATTAATGCACAGTCACTGTGAAAAACAGCAAGAGAATTCCCTAGAAAGTAAAATATAAGGCTGGAGAGTATGGTTCACTAGGTAAAACACTTGCCTCACAAGCGTGAGGACCTGGGTTCGGATCTCCTGGAGCCGTTTAAGACCACACAGGGAAGTACCCCTACAGTGAGATGGGAGATGGGGACAGGTGAAGATCCCTGGCCAGGAGCAATGAATGAGAGACTCTGGACCCCAAAGATGACTCAGCCGTTAAGGGTGCTTGCTTCCAAGCCCCGTACTCATACACAAAGCACGCATACACAAATAAAAATAATAAAACCTTTTTAAAAAGTCAAGTACAGGACTAAGAGACAGGGCTCAGTAGCAGAGTATTTACCTACTGTGCTCAAAGCCCTGAGTTCCATGCCCAGTATCAGGGAGAGAAGGGTGGAGGGGGGCCAGCAAGACGACTCAGTGGCTTAAAGGCACCTGCTGCACAGGCCAAGCAGCCTGAGTTTTGTCCCTGGGACCTCCATGGTAGAAGGAGAATTGATTCCCACACGTTGTCCTCTGACACACACACACACACACACACACACACACACACACACACACACACACACACAAATAAAAATAAATCTTAATTTTTTAAAAAAGGAAGGAATAAAGGGACAAAAGGCGGGGGGTGGAGGGGAGGTGTCTGTGAGAGCACAACCCTGTGCGTGAATGTTCACTGTAGCATTGTTCACAACAGCCAGCAGGTAGGTGAATAAGCAAAGTTGGATCCATCTATACAATGAATCATAAAAAGAGCATAGGGCCAATCTGTACAATAGTGTGATGGACCGGGAAGACAGGAGGCCGACTAAGAGAAACCAGACACAAAAAGGTCTGGAAGCAGCAAGTCCATCTAGACAGAAACCAGGTTCTGGGAGCCAGGAGGTTCAGCAGGGAGGAGCCAGAGGCAAGACCGCCACAGGGGCAAGCTACTTGAGGGAATGATGAAAACCTTCGAAACTAGAGAGAGTGAGTTGTTGCACAGCCTTGTGAACGCACCAAACCATCAGTGATGGTTCACCCAAGAACAATGCACTGCACTCTGGGCCAGTTCTGCCTCAATCAGGAAAGAACACAGGGAGGGGGAGGGGGGCCAGCCTGGGCAACAGTGGCGGGTGGGCAGGCCCGCAGGGAGGGGCAGGAGGGCGAGACGCTCCTGGGACCCCACACCTCCCTCCAGGTGGACTCAGTCCCTCTCAGCTCTCCGTCCTGCACCTCCACATGGAGAGGGTGGAGAGAGAGTGTGGAGGGAACCAGGCCTGTTTGCCAAGTGCCTGAGCACAGCTGACCCTCTGTTTGGAGAACTCAAACCAGCCCAGGAACCTGGCAATGGGAGGAGGAGGAAGAGAAGAATTGGAGAGGAAGGGAAAGAGAAAGAGAAGAGGAAAATCAGTAGAAGAGAGAAAAGAAAAAATGGGAGGTGGTTCAGAGGGTGCTGCCGGGGTGAAGGCTTCAGCTCCACCCTTAGGACCTATTCGGGAGGTGAGAACTGACGGACTCCCACAGTTTTATGCATCTATGCATGCACACACACATACAGGCACACACACAGTAAAATGTAATAATAAACTGTTTTTAAGGCACAAGAGAGCAGAGTGGTGGCACACATCTGAGAGGATCTTTGCTGTGAGCCAGCCTAAGCTACATCGAGAGACCCTGTCCCTAAATACCAAACCAGTCCCCTTGCAGCTATGAAGACAACTAGCTCCAGGCAAGGTCATTCTGAGGATCCACTTCAAGGGGAATAGAGTTGGCCAGACTCACTCACCCTAAAGGATTAGGACTGAGGATGTCTAGAAGACAGAGACCTCTGGAGGATTTGGGAAGAACTTCCTGGAAGAGGGGGCCCTTGGAGCTGGGTGCTGAGCATGAGTGAGAACTCACCAAGCACACTTGGAAGATAAGTAGGGTCAGCAGATAGAAGGATCCACATCTGCCTCCCTGCCAGCCAGCTGCCCACTGGATGACTGAAATGCTTGGTCATGGTGGGCAGGTCACAGTCTTAATGAGGACAATACCATGGCCCAGGATTGAGCAACACTTACTTACCCAAACCTGGATGAACAATTTGGATGAATGGATTGCTTGGATGTGACTTCCAGCAGGTGCACAGCCTTGCAAAGTTCCTGAGACTCTTACACACTGTCACATTCTTTGCCCATGTTGTTCTCACAGCCTGTATTGCCTTCTTTGGTGAACTTCTGCTCATCCCTCAAATCCTTACTCAAGTAACCCTTCCTCTGGGGCACCCTCATATGTATAAATCCCAGGAAGGTTCTGGGAATTGGAAACTCACTCATCCCCCTGAGGCCCAACCCGCCTACCTGAGGCACCCAACACAGGCTTCATGTAATCAGGATGGACAAGCACCAAGAGAGGCAGGAAAGGTCCAACCCATGCCAGGACGATGTGGTGCATGGTATCCAGCACTTTCTTCTCATTCTGAAGGCCCTTCTCATTGGGAAGATACTATGGCAGACAGAAAGGGACAACGAAGATGTGACAACTCAGCTTAATCTGCTCCCGCCCCCTCCCACCACTGCCTCTCTCCTGCAGAACACTGCAGACCACGGGTCTCTTGCTGCCTTTCTCTGAGTCTCCCCCTCCTCTAAAAATAAATTAAGAGCAATGGGGCTGGAGGCCTGGCTCAGGGGTAGAACTCTTGCCTAGGATTCGTGAGAAGGTGGATTCCAAAGATAGCATAGCAGGGGGAGAGAGGGAGAGAGGGGGGGAAGGAGGAAGAGAGAGACAGAGAGAGAGAGACAGATAGACAGACAGATAGACAGACAGACAGAGTAGCAGGCACAGCAACGGTAAGAGCTGGCATTTATCAGATATTTGCTGTATGTCCTGTTTAGTTTTGTCACCTGGACATCCGAGGAGAATCGAGGGATTGCCCAGATCTGACTGGCCTGTAACTATGTGTGTGGGGAATTGTCTTTACTGGTAACTGATGTAGGAGGGTCCAGCCCACTGTGGTCAGTACCACCCATGGGCAGGTGATCCTGAGTTGTATAAGAAAGCTCCCCAAGCCAAGGGGAGCAAGTCAGTAAGCAGTGCACCCCCATGGTTTTCTACGACTGCCCTGACTCCCCAACGACAGACTGTGACCTGGAAGTGTAAGTCAAATAAATCCTTTCCTCCCCTAAGTTGCTTTGAGTCAGAGTGTTTTATCATAGCCACAGAAAAGCAAAGTAGAATACAATGTTAGTAAAAAATAAATAAATAAAAATTACAATTAAACCATTTATAGTGGCAAATGTCTGCTATCTCAGCACTCAACAGGTAGAGGGCAGGAGGATCAAAAATTCAATATCATCTTTAGCTACATAATAGGTTTGAGACCAGATTGTGCTATATGAGTTCCCTGCAGAGAGAGAGAGAGAGAGAGAGAGAGAGAGAGAGAGAGAGAGAGAGAGAGAGAGAGAGGAGCTGGGCCTGGTAGTGAACGCCTGCGATCCCAGCACTAAGGAAGATAGACAGTTGTAGTAGCCTGGGTTATATACTGAGACCCTTTTCCTCAGGAAAAACAAACGAAGCCCGAAAGCGGAGATGGCTTCCTGCCGATACACGCTTGGAGGTTAGCGTGAAAATTCTCGTAGCAGAAAAAGATATTCTGATAGAGAACACAATGGATGAAGAATCAGAGAGTTGACAAAGGCCAGCTTCAGAAACAGGAAGTGGTGTATGAGCAGGAAAGGGTTGGAATGATTGGAATCCAGAATTTCTCAGGAAAGCTAGAAGATGGCAATTTCAAGGCCAGCCTTAGGATACCAAAGACAAGGTCTTCCTATGCTGCCCAAGATGAACTTCTGTGTTCAGATGATCCTTCTCAATCAGCCTGAGTAACTGGGACCCGTGGTTTGTGTCGCCATGCAAACTAATCTTTATGTCTTGAATGGTGGGTGGGTGTGTGTGTTTGTGTGTGTGTGTGTGTGTGTGTGTGTGTGTGTGTGTGTGTGTGTGTGTATCCCTAAGCTGGGGCTCTCAATTCATGGTTAGCGCCCCATCTTTCTAAGGAGACTCTTACTGTCTCAGGTATGGTTGCTCACAACTGTAACCTCAATACTCATGAGGCTGAGGCAAGAGGATTTGCTGTGAGCTTGAGGCTAGCCTGAGCTACATACAAATTCCAAGCCAGGCTGAGCTGTAGCGTGAGACCTTGTCTCAAAGTAAAAATTAAAAACAAAAATAGATGAGTCAGGCATGCTGACCTATGTCTGTAATCCCAGCATTCAAGAAGCTGAGGCGGAAGGGTTATGAGTTTGAGGCCAGCGTGGCCTACTTCGTTTGAAAAAAAAAAATCAAATGCGAGGAAAGAGTTAGAATCTCAGTGTATAGTATCATAGCATCCAATAATGAGAGTAGTTAGGTATGGTGGAGCGCGTCTTTAATCCCAGCACTCGGGAGGCAGAGGCAGGCAGATCTCTGTGCGTTCAAGGCCAGCCTGGTCTACATAGCAAGTTCTAGGAAGCCAGGGCTACATAGAGACCTTGTTTCAAAACAAAACAAGCAAAAGAGCAAGAGTAGAATCACCCTAATCTAGGGAAGGCTAGAGAAACACAATCTCCAGGAGCCCCCTCCTTGCTCCCACTCTAGGCTCCAGACCCCCAATTTTTTTTTTTTGTTTGTTTGTTTGTTTTGTTTTTTCGAGACAGGGTTTCTCTGTGTAGCTTTGCGCCTTTCCTGGAACTCACTTGGTAGCCCAGGCTGGCCTCGAACTCACAGAGATCCGCCTGGCTCTGCCTCCCGAGTGCTGGGATTAAAGGCGTGCGCCACCACCGCCCGGCCAGACCCCAAATTTTATGGGCATCAGTACCTCCCTGCTACATTGGTAGCTATAGAACTATAGAAAGAACTATTATTATTGTTGTTGTTGTTTGTTTGTTTGTTTGGGGCATGGATCATTTTCTTTAAAAGACAATCGGTTGCCCCCGTCACTGTAATGTCACTAGTGTGCCAGTGGGTACACCTTGCCTGGCAGGTCTTTATTGTAACATTCAGCTCTGAGTAAGACCACTGATGCAGCTTCCAGTACTAGGAAAGCTGGCCAGCACGGGGGACGAACTCGACTTAATAGTCAGCTCTGCCTCCTCCCAACGGTGTGCCCCTGGGCAAACGGCTTGCCCCCTCTGAGGTCTGGTCTACTCCACACAGTGAATCTGCGTCTAACCGTAAACCCACCCCGCCACCAGGTCTGCCCCTGCGCACTCACCATGCTCACGTGGCCCAGCAGCCAGTGGCGGCCTGGAGGCTCTGGGAAGCAGCTGAGCCTGCGACAAAGGGTGCGGAAGTCCCAACATAATTTGAACACCTGCAGTAGCAGGCGGAAGAGGAAGAAGAGGAGGAACAGCAGCAGAGCTGACACAGCATACACTCGAAAGGCTGTCTTCTCCAGCCCCAGCAGATGCAACAGATAGTCCGTGATGGGCAGCATCCTAGAAGACACGCGGGGACCAATCAGCGCAGCCACACACAGGAGGATCCTTCACTTTGCCGGCACACACATCTTTCTTTAAAAGACAAAAACAACTTTTAAAAGGGGCTTATTTTTAATGATATGTATATCAGGGGTGAAGGAGTTGCGCTTGTGAGTGGAGTGCTTGTGGAGGCTAGAACAGGGTTTGGAGTTATAAGGAGCTATGGGCATCCTGAAATGGGTGCTGGGGGCCTCAAACTCGAGTCCTCTGGAAGAGAAGCCATTGCTTTTAACTGCTGATCCATCTCTCCAGCCCTACTCCCCACACACACACACTTATTTTCTTTCTTTTCTATTTATTTAACTGTTTGTTTATGTTTGCAGTACTCGATGGAGATGCTATACCCAACAGGTCGTCTACCTTCCCTCCACGTCCCCAGTGCCAAGACACCCTCTGGACCCTCCTATCATAGAACTTTCTCTGCTTGAGCACAGATAGTCAGAGTCCGGGGAAGCAACACACACACACACACACACACACACACACACACACACACACACACATACACCATGCACACATGCACACAAAGTAGCCCTCAACCAATGGCCCTACAGTCTCGGTAAATCAACACTCTAGCTCTCTCTGTCTCTGTCTCTCTCTGTCTCTGTCTCTGTCTCTCTCTGTCTCTCTCTCTCGATATGTGTGTGTGTGTGTGTGTGTGTGTGTGTGTGTGTGTGTGTGAGTGTGTGAAATAACACCGAGACATGTACTCTATGCAGGGTTTTCCGGAACTCCAGCAGCCCAAAGCAAGAACTTTCCTGATTGGTTTTCCCCCTTCGCTGTCTCACCTCTTCCTTTCCTGCTTTCTTTTTTCAACTAAAGTGAAGATTCACATAACGTACAACATCATTTTTCTTAATTTTTGGATATTAAGTGTTTAATTGTGTGCATGTGTCTGTGTGTGGGTATGTGCTCTCATGGGCGGTGTCTTCGGAGGCCAGAAGCAATGGATGCCGCTGGGACTGGGATTTGGGGCAGTTGTGAGTCACCTACCACCGGTGCTGTGAACAGAACTCCCTCCTCTGTAAGAGTAACTCTTGACCACTGAGGCATCTTCCTAGGCCCTAAAATGCCATTTTAAATGAACAACTCCTACAATAGAATATTATTTGGCCACAAAAAAGAATAGCCAGTTATTTTTGGCCAAAAAGGCACCTGAAGACATCATGTTAAGTAACATAAGTCACTCAACCTCTTTCATTGGTTGACTGGTTGAAATGGTGTCTTGTTCTGTACTTCAGGCTGACAACTTTAACTCCTGGTGTGAAGTGATATTCTGCTCCAGCCTCCTGAGAGGCTGGGACTGCAGGTTTGTGCAACCATGCAGGGCAAGGGAAATAAGTCAAACACAGAAAAATAGATGGCAGGCCAAACATGCAGGCACATGTTTATACTCCCAGTCCTCAGGACTAGCCTAGGCTACAAAGCTAGATTTTCTCAGATGAGAGAAGCTGGCAGGAACTCAGTTCTCTCTCATATATGAGTACTTTTTTTTTAAGTCCATTGAGATATAATAGTGACTATTTAGAGTCTGGGAAGAAACCTGGGCCAGGAGTCACAAGCAGACAATTCTGCTACTCAGAAAATGGAGGCAAGGGGGCTGAAAACATCCAGGGCCAACCTGGCTGTGGTGGCGCACACCTTTAATGCCAGCACTTGAGAGGCAGAGGCAGGCATATCTCTCTGAGTTCCAGGGTAGCCGGGGCTACATAGAGAAACCTTGTCTCTAAAACACAAGAAAAAAGTGGGGGGGGGGGAGCAGAAGAGATGGCTCAATGGTTAAGAACACTTTATGCTCTTCCAGAGGACCCGAGTTTTGTTCACAACACACCACCTCAGGCAGCTCACAACCACCTGTAACTCCAGCTCCAAAGGATCTGAAACCCTCTCCTGGCTTCCTCGGGTACCTATGTACTTGTGCATACACCCACACATCCACACATGCACACACACACACACACACACACACACACACACACACACACACACACACAAAGTAAAAGAAAAAAATTACATCCAAGGTTTGTTCAGATCACACAATAAAGTCCAGGTCAGACCAACAACTTAGTGAGACTCTGTCTCAAAATGAAAAGAAAGTAATCAGTCTGGAAGCCAAGTGTGGTGGTGTGTGCCTGAAATCTCAGCATCTGAGAGGCTCAAGCTGAGGCCAGTCTGGGCGACAGAGTACATTCCGAGCCAGAACTGCCTCAGAGTAGATCCTGTCACAAAAATAATTAATAAATATTATGAAATTAAGGAAGTAAACGTTTCACTGGCATTTAGCATTTTCACAACACTGTGCAACCATTGCCTCCACCTACAACACTGTGGTCAGAACAATACCCCGTGTCCATCAGCAACCACTCGCCTGGTCTTCCTTTCATACAAATCTTGGCCTCTACTGCCCTCTCTTTCTTCTTTTCTCTTTTCCTTTTTGAAAAATGTTTGAGACAGACATAGCCTCATGTAGTTAGTGCAGGCTAGCTCAGACTTGCTGATCCTCTTGCAGGGCACTACCTCCCAAGTGCTGGGATGACATGATTGGGCCATCACATCCAGTTTACTCAGTGTCTGATCTTCTTTGTGTTTCTGTGGGTTTTCCTCTCTCTCATACAAATGGCACCATTCTTGCCTGACTTATTCCTCTACCTGTTCCAAATTCAGCCACATTGGCAAGGATCACCGCTATGATCTTTGTACGGATGAGTAATATTCCATTATCTGGACATGCCACACTTTGGTTGAGCCACTCATTTTTTTGTTTGTTTTGTTTTAGTTTTTCAAGACAGGGTTTCTCTGTTTCTCTCCTGGCTGTCCTGGAACTTGCTTTATAGACCAGGCTGACCTTAGATTCACAGAGATCTGCCTGCTTCTGCCTCCCAAGTTCTGGGATTAAAGGCGTGCACCCCCACTGTCGGGCTTAGCCACTCATCTCTTGATAGATATTTGGGCTGTTTCCATCTCTGGGAATGGGGAAATGTGCTGCTCTGAGCATGTGCCTGTACGTACTCCTTTGGGTACCTGCTTTCAATTCTCTTGACTTTCTTCTTTCTTTACTGGTATTTGCTGAAATTGCCCAGTTACTGGTACTCAGATCCTTGACTTGGGGTCAGCTCCTGAAAGAAGTAAAGCAGTGGCATGAATTGAAGCGTGAGCAGGGGCATAGTGCTCCCCATGCATGGCACCACACGCCACAGGAATGTGAAGCCTCCATCTCAGGCAATCTCAGACAGTAGGTTGTGACACTATTCATTTTCCAGACCAGGAGGTTAAATCTCAGCTCAGTTCCTCCAATTCAAAGAAGTAATGAATGAGTACCAGGGGCATGTGTCAGCTGCAGAGTGCCTGCCTAGAATCCCCCACTGAGGGGCTAAGACGTGACTCAGGGACAGAACGCTGACTCAGCATGCCCAAAGCCCTCAGCTTCATCCCAGCAAAAGAAAGAAAGGAAGGAAGGAAGGAAGGAAGGAAGGAAGGAAGGAAGGAAGGAAGGAAGAAAGGAAGAAAGAAAGAAAGAAGAAAGAAAGAAAGAAAGAAAGAAAGAAAGAAAGAAAGAAAGGAAAGAAAGAAAGGAAAGAAAGAAAGGAAAGAAAGAAAGGAAAGAAAGGAAGAAAGGAAGAAAGGAAGAAAGGAAGAAAGAAAGAAAGAAAGAAAGAAAGAAAGAAAGAAAGAAAGAAAGAAAGAAAGAAGAATCAAATAAAATAAGGTTTTGGTGAGAAACTGGATAAACTGGAACCTGTGTGCACCACTGAGAAAAATGTGAACGGTTCAACCACTTTGCAAAGCATGCTAATTATCACTGTGAGAATTAAACAGATGTGTGCTGCCTGCACTTTTCAGCACTCAGAGACGGAAGCAGGAGGAACAGGAATTCAAGGCCATCCTCAGCTACACAGTGAGTTTAAGTCTAGCCTGAGCTACATGAGATCTCATGTTTTTAAAACACACACACACACACACACACACACACACACACACACACACACACACACACACAAAGGGCCAAAGAGATGGTTCCATGGGTGAAGACACTCGACATCAAGTCTGATGACTTGAGTTTGATTCCCGGGACCCACGTGGTAGAAGGAGAGAATGAACTCCTGTACGTTGTCCTATGACCTCTACATGTATGCCACGGCATGTACACACACATCCACACAGAAAAATCAATCAACAAGTAAATGTAAATAAATAAACTAATGTAAACCTAGAATAACATATGATCCAGCAAGCCCACCTCTGGATGCATTTCCAGAGGAAAGATCCCAAAGAGATATTTGTACAGCTTGTCCAATAGCAGCAATATTCACAGCAGCCGAAAAGCACAAACCCCCATGCTGTCCACAGACAGGTGAGTGGATGAGTAAAAGATGGCATGTACTTACTGCAGAACATTACTCAGCGAAGACAAGAAAGGAGAAGTCGGGCATGTGCTGTGATACAGATGAATCTTGAGGTCATTACACTCAGTGAAATAAGCCCAATGTAAAAAGATCAGTGTTGCCGGGCGGTGGTGGCGCACGCCTTTAATCCCAGTACTCGGGAGGCAGAGGCAGGCGGATCTCTGTGAGTTCGAGGCCAGCCTGGTCTCCAAAGCGAGTACCAGGAAAGGCGCAAAGCTACACAGAGAAACCCTGTCTCGAAAAACCAAAAAAAAAAAAAAAAAAAAAAAAAAAAAAAAAAAAAAAAAAAAAGATCAGTGTTACCTAAACATGGTAGCTCATGAATATAACTCCAGCATTCAGGAGGCTGAGACAGGAGGATTGTGCATTCAAGGCCAGTCTGGGCTATATAGTGAGTCTCTGTCTTGTAAAACAAAACAAGAAAAAAAAAAAAGAAATGGAAAGCCTGACCAGTAGAGCTGCTCTATTTATTAAGGTCCTAGAGCCATTTGAGGCGTGGATACGGGAAGCAGCATCAGAGACTCTAAGGGCAAGGGGGAGCCACGTACTGAGTG